GGCCTGCAAAACAAAAAAGGCAAACTCTAAATACTACTAAATCAAAGATAGAAGAGATAACAAACGAAATGAAGAATATACCACTGTGGCGTTGTGCATAGCATTGTTCAACAAGCACTCTCCCAAGAGAGCTTGTATCTTTTCTCAATCTTTTTCTGAAGCCAAAGGCTTTAGATAGTTAGCGAGTTCCACCGGCCGGGATAGCAGATCGCATCTGGTAGAGAGTGAGAGAGTAACACTCCCCCTCCTTTGCGGATCTTCTGAGAGGGCGGCATAATTTTGCCCCAAGTTCACATGAACTGGGGACTGGGGAAGAGGAACATCCTCTTCTAGGACAGATGCGGCCGGTGTAGATGATGTAACAGTTGCTGGTGAAAGAATCGGGGAAGAAAGAGATGAAGATGATAGTGTTGAAGGATGAGAAGTGGCTGCGGCAAGCGTAGTGCTGGGTGTTGATTGCTCGTCAAACAAAGACAGCAGGGACCCGATACTCAGCCTCACAGTACCGGGCGCAGCAACTGGGATCCGAAAACGGGAGTTGGCATTTTCCACCATCTCAAACTCCCCCAAGAGTGATGAGGTATCGTCCTCGGTTGGTATACCTAACTTAACATATTGAGCAGTCTATTGAGCTGAGAAAGGTCGCCGCCTTCTATGTAGAGAAGCCCCCTCCTCGCTGGCTTCCCCATCATCGTCAATCATCATGGTATCTATGGCTGGCCCAGGCGGGGGGGTCGTCACCACAACTTCCGTAGACGACTCGGGAGCATAACTCTTCGCCCTCTTATTCTTTCCCCAGGCCGCGGAGGAACGTCTTCTTTCTGGTTGCTTGTTCTCCGGCCGGGGACTCCGGGAAGAAGCACTCGCACTACAAGGAGGCCTAAAGATGCATGTCTGTGTAAAAGCCTCCTGCAGCAGCCTCGCCGCATCAGCAGGATTAGCCAAAACGTCCTCCTCGAGGAACAGAACTGAGCCCTAGGGTAGACCTAAATTCAACAGGAGAGAAGAGTCAAACAACTTCCTTATGTGAAAAGGTAAAAACATGATGAGTTCTACTTACCATGATTTTTGGTCTTCCACTCGTATTTCAGGGACAATTCTTTCCACGTGTGAGTTTCGGGTGTAGTAACGTCCAAACTTTTCTGGACCCATTGGTCTAAACCCTCAACCCTAAATGGAACCCACTGAGTCACTGAAACAAGTAAAGGAAGAAGGGTCAATAATAATGTGGAATGATCTTTAACAGAAGAAGAAATAAATGATAGACTTACGAGTACGGTTCCATAATTCCGGGAAAGCCGGAGTCGTGGCCGGGATGATGTCATTAGTGGCGATTGAAACGTTTCATCCACCCACGGTTATTGTCATTATCCATGCTGGATAGCAGTGCATGGTAGCCACGCTTGCTGAAATTTATCATTCCCCCGCGGAAGAACTTGGGGGAATAGAGGTTCATCACTCGAGCTAACTATAGCTCTTCTCCCGTCTCCTGGCACGGGCGGCGAAGACAAGCCATTGTCCTCCATACGGAAGGGCTTACCTGTGCCAAGCATGCCTGATAGCGGAGGCAGAACTCCACAATGACAGAGTCAAACTCTACGCTCAAAGAAAACACTCCCAAAGTGAAGGGATACATATAAAAATATGTAAAACCCTTCTTGGGTAAAGTTATCCGCTCCGCCAGGTCGGGAGCGATAATGTCCAAATCTTGACAGTGAAAGTATTCCTTCACAGCAGGGATACTGGAAGGACGGATAGAAGAAGGGTATACACTAATGGCCCACGTACGAGGGTGAGAAGAAGGGTACTTCTCTTCAAAATCTTGGTGGCAATCAGATTCTTTGGGATGATGGTAATCACCGTAAGGGGGCATCATCATCAATTTTACATTTGTTCTTTGAAGAACTAGGGTTTCTTGATGAAGAGGTCATTTTTTATCAGAAGAAGGGTTTTTCTCTCAAAAAAAGAAGCTAAAGAAAGGTTAAATACGAAGTATGAGTTGAGTAAAGAAAGTCTGAGAAAATTTAGAATATTATGAAGTGTAAATGAAGGAGGTTGATGCGTATAAGTAAAGGTATAGGCGGCTAAACTCGTGGCAATAATTACCTCGATAACCGGTAAAAGTTATGCTAAATCGTAGGATAACGTGTGTTCGGGGCATTAAATGCGGAGAGACGTGCGTCTAATCAAGCGATAGAAACTTTTCAGAGGGGGTCAGTAAATTTTCCGCCAAAGAGAATGTTTCTTCCAACTTTCCAGTGATACAAAGTTATTCCACCAGAAAGCAGGGGGACTATCTGTATAGGGTAAATATATTCTATTAAATGATCGCATGAGTAAGTGACACGTGGAGTCGAATACAGAAGATAGCTAAAACCGAAGGCAACGATCCCGTATGTTACCGGAGAGAATGATACCCATAAAGATGAAATAAATACGTTCCACCCGGTAGCATTTCATGAAAAATATTCTACAGCATTAAGTACATTGTCTGTTACAAGAAATATGGCATTCACTGCCTGCTGTTACAAACAATCTTCAATGGCCCTCATAATTGAAATTAAAGAGGGGCTTGATCCTAGGACCTTGTTCCCTAGGTGCAGCTATAAATAATGAGCTCTATTATCATTGTAAATGAGACAAATTTCCTAGCAAACATATGCTACACTCTATTCAAAGCTTAATATAATTTTATCTTCTTATCTTTTGATTTCATTATTGTTGTGCCCGGAAGCCCAGCTCCTGGAACTGCTATTTCTGCTATTTTGTCTCCATCTCAAGGCTAAGTATTATATTTTTATCTAATTCATCTATTATTTCAGAATCAAATTAATTCACTTATCTGATAACCACGTATAAATTCAATTATACCGTTTTACGGGTAAACAGAAATAACTATTTAACAAAAGACACCTCTATTTTCATTAGGCTTTTATACACTACTTAATAAAATTTTATTTAGCGTATGTGTATTGACGCTCTATTCTCTTACCAACCCTTTAATTACGCCTACTAATATTTCGAAAGGCTTAATATAACCTCCTTAACTGAAACCAGGTCCCCAAGGTTTAGCCTTTTCAATGATGAGTTATTACTTGTTTCACTAATTTATTGTGCGTGATAATCTGATTCGCCTGAAAATACTTACACACAGCTTTAGCTTAATCAGTTAATCAAATAACAAATTATGATTTTAAAATGTACACATTTTATCTTAATATAAGTAGATTTTCCTCTAATGATAGATTTCACGATAAAGTTTCCGGTCCTATATTTTCTGAGCATATTTATTTCTACCAAGACATAAACTTGCACGAAAGAAATTCAAAGTCTTTATGGTCAAAGTAGGGAAGTTAACTTACACTACATTTTTTTTTAATAAGATGGCGTGCGTTTACTAAACTAAGAAAGATGAGAATACTAATACTATAACATGCCACTGGACATAGCAGGTTAGCAATAAATAAATACTTTTCTTCCAAAATAAGTTGATCTTATTAATTTATTGGTTTCGTACACACTTAGCTTTTAGAGGCTTGGAGTTTGGCAAAGTTTAGTGTAAACACACGATTAGAGATACAATTCTCAAATTTTGCAAGTTGAATAACAAGCGCGAAGGTTTAACTTCATCTTTGTCCAGGATTTTGAGCTCGATCGTTGTCAAAATCTTCAACGTTCAATTTATCGTTGTATACATTGTGATAGGAAGTATTTATATTATTATACAAGAGAAAACTTAAAGCTTTGAAAATCTTCAGCAATGACTAGTCAGATATGATAGTAATTAGACCACAATCATAGAGTATTACCCTAAATTTCGTTTAATCGTTTTTATGTTTTTTCTTTTTTCTAATGGGCTCTTATTTGATTTTTCTAATAAACGCCTGTGGCCCATTTTTGGTTTGTTGAAACTGGGCAAATTGCCCTTTTCTTTGGGGAAGTGCACAAACACCCATTCTTAGAATACTATTTAGAGATTGGCCAATACTTATTTTGTCCTGAAAATTTGAATTTAAAATTTTAATTTCAGGATATTTGTACCCCAAAAATTAAAATTCAATACACATTGGTTAATTCCTAAATAGCAACCTTTTAGAGTGGCTACCTAGTGTCATTTCTACCTTTTCTTACATCTTCACCATTAAAAGCAGTGACCGCGCCGCCGCCACTGGTAAGGCCCAATAAAAGGAAAAAAGGATTACTTGCACTATATGGCCTATTTTTGAGGCCTCACTCATGGATATGGGGAGTTTCTTGAAGGTAAAACTTTGTCATCTAGGGTCTCACTGTGGACATCATGGTGAAAACTCGTCATAGAAATATGCATTGAATATGTACAAATAAAGTAGTTGTATATCGGATGTATGTTATTTGCATGTTCAATGTATCACCGAACAGATAGTGACACACACGATAAATAAAATATATACACAACATAATTGTATATTTTATATATGTATGTCATGTCTGTGTTTATTTTTTATGATTCTATATATGTTGTTAGAAAACTCTTGCTACAGAAAATCTGGGTAATAAGGGGCCTAATTTGGTATCTCTGGGAAAAATTTCCTTGTTTTATTTTTCACTCGATATTTGATATCTACATTGGGGTTCCACTAATCCAAATCACGCCGCTTAAGGCCTATTAAAGGAATAACTGCTCTGTACTAGTTTTTTTTTTTTTTTTTTTTTTTTTTTTCATTTTCAGGGCTCGAACCTGAAGCATCTGGTTAAGGGTGCCCGACCATGAAAATTAAAAGGAGCATACCTGACACTTTCAATCACCAAAAGATTCCCCGTAGTCGGCAAACTGCGAATGAGTGCGAATCATATATTTCACTAAGTGAAAGAGTCAAGATTTTATGCTTTTGTCCACTGCGTACGTCCTTTAAGTTTTTGCTTAATTAAACTCGTCCGTCTTAGTGACTTTGTCATGAACCAACAGTGAACATATATTGTAGTTTCTAAGTATATTTCTTTGACCAAGTACAGTCGGCAACATACCCCTGATTAGTAAATGCTGAGAAGGAAAGAACAACACAAAATCCACTCTTTTCTTAGACAAAGGAGAATCTTATTCTTACTTGTATGACCTATATATACACATCTCAAAAAAGTATTAGACACTCAAGAAATTCAGAAGCAATTTAATTTGAGCACACTAGCTCGTGCAAGTTTGTCAATCAAGCATGGTTAATGCTAAGTCGGCTAACTGCTACTGGAACATAGCCTTAGTCCTCACTTTTCTTCTCATTCTGCCTCCTTCCCAGGAACGAGTTCTCAGTATGAATATTTAATTGCTTAATTTTATACGTTAATTAGTTGTTGCATAAAATATTTTTCCTTTATCTTTGAACTTACATACTATTTTTTGTGTATTTTGTCTCCTCCAGCGTTTAACAACGAGATGTTTCACGCCCTTCCACTTTGTACGACAGTTTATAATGTAGATACTGGTGACACTTGCGACAATATTATCCGATCTTTCGATGTGAAAGCAGAAGACTTCGCTTCTTTTAATCCAAACCTTAACTGCGACGATCTTTTTGTGGGTGAATATGTTTGTATCAATGGCACCTTATCTTCTTGAATCCAATTCACGATGGCCAACAATGTTCTAAATTAAGTATAAGTATCTCTAGTGGTAGATGCAAAATCTCTTCGAGTAATGAAATCTATTGGCTACAACTTGTTTTTCTATCCGTTGATCCGTGGTTAAACCAAGAAATTTCTTCAGTTATTTTGTATCAAGTGATGTTTTCACACAATGGAAATCAGCTCTCTTTATGTTGGTTATGACTTATATTTTAATTTGCTTATTGATCAATAGCAAAAACAATTTATCTCACGTATTTGTCAGAAAATGACTTCTGAAAATCTTCGGTGTTGTTAGAGTTTGAGTTTAGGTTTTGGAAATCATACATTAGAAATTGTATAGTACCATCGAAAAGGGTACTCCCTCCATTTCAATTTAAGAAAAAAAAAATAACTTTTGAAATTTTGGATTGTCACACCTCTTTTTTTCCGAGGGGATAGGGATAAGGGAGTTTTTCCAATTAAAGTGACATTAATCGAAATGTGATTATTTATTAAATTCAGAGTCGCCACTTGGAATAAGTTATGGTATCCCAAGTCACCAGCTTATTTTAAATCCCAAATCGAGAAAATTTAACTCTATTTATGGTCTGCGAACACAGAAGACCGGGTAAGGAATTCTGCTAACCCGGGAGAAGGTGTGAGGCACTCCCGAGTTCCGTGGTTTTAGCACGGTCGCTCAACTATTAATAATTGGCCTAATTATCTGATTTAATACATGTTTTAAAACCTAGTGTGCATTTTTATCTTCTAAACCGCTTTTAATATTTATGAAATTTGTTTGAGCAAGTCACGATGTCGCGCACTAGCTATTTTGGTACACGTTGCAAACCGCACCACATGAAATGCACCCACGATTTACGACATGTTTATTTTTATTATTATTTGAAGTTGTGGCCGAGTCACGTGAAACGCACATACGAATTGGGATTACGTATCATGACTATGCCACGGAAACCGTACCCATAGTCACGATGATTTATTAATTGCGCCTAAAGCAAGCTACGATGTTTGTGATTCTGTAAAGCGATTTACAGCAATCGGTTCTCAATCTCTAATTTTCCAAACTAATTAAGCTCTAAATAAAGCCAAATCCTATGAAACGAAGAGTAACCAAATTGAGAGCAGATTCGTGATTTTAAAAGTCTAAAGATGCCGTGATTTTAAACAAGAACAAGTCAATACATAACACATAGAGTAATCAACACTATCACATTTAATTCAAACTCAATCATGATCTAACACAAAATCATATGTAAAATAAAGATTTAGAGCTTAAGATAAAGGAAATGGACCTCTAAATAGATACGCTGACTGTTTTAAAACTTAACAATGCACAGGACCACGATCAGACCTCGACAGGCGAAAGACTAACCGAACCTCGCCGGAAAATACTCGAATCTCGCGGACGAACTCGAACTCTACTCGACCCGGAGAAAACCGAAACTCAAAGAGCTGACCGGAACTTTAAGAAAGAATCAGCTTAGAGAAGCTTTATCAATCAACTTGGAAAAGAGAAAGAATCTGAAAAGTCTTCAATTGGTAGTGTATTATAGTACTGGCTATCTCAATTCTCGTGCTTTGAGCCTAGAGAATTGCTACTGTTTTGTGACCTCCATTTTCTGCTATTCTAATTCTCGAATTCTCTTAGTCTCCTCTGTTCTATTTCACTTTATCCGTTCCTTTTTCTTTCACTCTTTGCCTTCCTTTTGTTTTTGTGCAGGTTGCGGCTGTTTGAGTCTTTTGTGTCTGAAGTGGGGAATTAGCTTAAGATTTTTGGGTGTTAATTTAGTTTTTATATGGTAGTGGGGAGTGAGTATTGGACTTTGGATGAAAGTAGATCAATGGCTATGATTAAGGGAGGGGTTTGATGGGTGAGAAAAGGGTTTGGGCTAAAAGGGATTGGGAAGAATAGGCATTTGTCTTGCTGGGCCACCAAAATACGAAAATGAGCTCCCAATTGGCCCAAATTCAATTCTTACTCATTGAGCAAAATAAAAATAAAAATACTAATACTATCAAAATATACTAATTAATACAAAACTATTTTTTGATATTTTCAAATAATAATAAAAATAATATCTTTCTAAAAATACCTAATACCTAAATTAAATAGAGAAAATAAAACTATTTTAGTATTTTTTCAATTTTTGTGCTTTAAAAAATAGAATTAAAATTAATAATAAAGTGAAATCCTATAGAAATAAACTCAAATAAATATTCTAAAAAATACTAGGACTATTAAAGGTAATTCTAATGTGTGGGTCAAAAATTACGTGCTTACAACTGCCCCTCTTTGGTTGGAAACACAAAGTGTTTTTGAGCAAAGAAACAAGTAAGCGACGTAATTGATTTCTGACCCGACACTTATTCAAAAAGATAATGACTGAGCCCTGGTATCTGAGCTGCCTACATATCCTTGGCTATAAAAGAATCAGACCACGTGTAGTTCAGAAGTGATGGAGTGTGTGGAGAGGATGAGAGAGTCGAGTGAGATACCGTTCCATCGAGGTTCCGGTCCGCGATCCTGTTATTACATCAAAATCAAAAATGAAAAAGACTAACTAAGCCTGTCAGCTATGAGTTAAAAGATTCCTATCTATAAGTCTTCTGAAACTTGATCTTGAGTCTTGAATGGTTCTTCATGCAGACTTTTGATTTGAACCTTGATGCTTGCTAGCTGCAGGTGCAGATTCATCTCTTCAGCTTCTTCGGATCAAGATGGGGCATGCAAAGCTTACGACTTCAGTCATGTCTTGAGCAGCCCATATCTTTTCATCTGCTTCTGCATTTTGAATTGACTTTTTTTTCTTTTATTCTGGATTGAGACTTCTTCTTTTGGTCATCTCGGACTATCGGCTTGCATTCTTGAGGCGAGCTTCTGTACTTCTAACTTGAATTGAATTATGAAATAACTTCCCTCGTTCTTCAGGTGGGCGCCTGCATTTGACTTGAAATGCGAAATGAATTCCCTCGTTCTCTAGATGGGCGCCTGCTAATGACTTGAAAATTGAAACAAATTCCCTCATTCTCTAGGTGGGCGCCTACCGCTAATTTAAAACTTGAAATGAATTCTCTCGTTCTCCAGGTGGGCGCCTG